TCCAATTATTTTATATATTTTATCTATAAATATCTAATTTATTCATATTAAATTACAAAAAAAAAATCTAAAGTGCTCTCGCGAAGCACCGAATTGCTTTATTTTTCTCACCAAACCGAAGAAGACTCCGAAGCAAATCTGACAACATTGATGAAAATAATGAAAAATTTAAAATAAAAATTTCAAAAAAAAATTATAAATACTTTTATAGATATTTATTTGCTTAGCTCGAATTTGAACAAAGCTTCAGCCGAATCAACCTCAAGGTTACCCGAATCTGACCAAAGTGGCCTGAAGCAGTTCGAATTTGACTGAAACGGCCCAAATCTAACCGAAGCGACAACACCAGGCTTCACTTCATTTTGGTTTAGTCCTAAAATTCGAAGGCTTCAGCCTTTTCGGCTTAAAAAAAAATGAATTTGACAACACTGGTTTAGTCAAATATTAAGTAGGTTTAGAGAATACTTCACAGAAGAAATAGCCTAAGAAAGCCCTTTAAAAAAAAGAGTGTATTTTATAGGACCGTTTGTTTTTTTGATACAAAGAGGTCATAATCACGCATTGTTATCAGATGTGAACTCTGATAGCTAGGGTTGTGTCACACAATTCAACAAATTTTATTTGATATTTGTGCCTAATTAGTCAATACACCCTAGCCATGCAATTTCACATTTAATAGTTTATAGTGATTGTGACTTCCTTTTGTCAAAAATAAATATTTTTATTGTATACTTTACCTTTAAAAAGGATGTAGTTTAGATGAAGCAACAACATTAGTTGTAGTTGGGCAACCTAAATTTGACATGTCTTTTAGGTGGTGTTAATGTTTAAAAAAAAAACAAAAAGACTTATCTTTTAAGATAATGTAAAAATCTGGGACTCCTTTTCATACGGTCAAATGTACACCGTCCACGTAAAATAGACAAAACAGATTACTATAATCCTATTTCTACAGCAGATAACTGCCCCATGTCAGTTTCTCCCTTGGAAAATTAGCTAAATAACCACTTTATTGGCAAATTAATTGAAGAGATGACTCTAGTAATTTTTTGAACATTGAGGTAGTATAAGATTGAACCACGGTCGTGAGGGTCATTAAGACCCTATTTGAGAACTCTTTTGCAGTTTCACTAGGAAAAGCTGAGAATCTCAAGGATTCTCGAAATGCAGAAAATTGGTGAAAGTAGTTAACCCCGTTTGATAACATGACCGGATAACTAGAAATTTAGGGGTCAACTTTCACCCAAACAAACGGGGAAAGCTGTTTGATAACTTATGTGAAGGACAATTTCAGAATAATGTACTAAAGTTTTTGTAGAATTCCAAGGTCACAATTCCAATATTGAGATAGAGGAGTCTTAAGCATCCAGTGCGTGCGAATTTGAATTTGGAATTAGCGAGGTATAGAATTATCTTATGTATTCTTGCAAATTGGCGCAAGCAAAAAGGATATATGTTAAAAGAAATAAAACTTCACAAAAAAAGTGTAAAAAGAATTTGGAAAGGTTCTAAGAGGTCTATACATCCATGTACTATAAATTTGTACTTTTAGAGTAAAGAAATTGTGTCATTTTGGTTTCTTCTTGAGTGCATAAAGAAAACTCTCTTCCACCGTTCTTCCACCACCCATCATGGCCCAACCCTAAATTGGATAGTAACAACCCGTAAATGAGCTTATTATACTATAAGTATACCTTCTCCTAACTATTGTTGGAAAAATGAAGCACGTCGAATTGCACCTGGCTGGGTTACCCAGACTCGCCCACATGGCGAGCTGGTTTCTCTGCAGTTTAGGGGGTCGAATTGCATGGGCTGCTTATACTTGATTTTTATACAGACCCGGCAAGGTTTTTTTCAACCCGGCAAGGTTTTTTTCAACCCGGCCAGGTTTCTCTCTCTCTCTAGACTCTTGCAAGGGCAACAGGGCCCTACCCTTCTCTCTCTTCCTTTGTAGCTTCCTCTCTCTGTCCCCTAGCAAGGGCAGGGCCGTAAAAGGAATTTTCTTTTTTTTTTTAAAGGAAAATTTGCCCCATTTTGAGCCCATAAAAGGCACTTGCCCGACTCAAGCTGTGCTACCAAGACCTGACCCATGGCCGCATACCATGCCGGAGTCGGGCAATCCTACATTGCTCCTCACTAAATCTCCATGGAGCACTTGATTCCCAAGCTGAATGAAGCAAATACTTTGCCCAATGCCTCCACCGAACGTGCACTTACCATATTCTCATAATAGGGAAATTTACATTTGTACCGTTATTTTTTACTATTACTATGGTCTGGAGAGGCCCCATTTTATTTTATTTTTTTTCCAGTTTGCCATCAATTTTTTTTTTATATTCATTGATCGCTCCATGTCAAAACCATTGGACCGCAACAGCCTTATAGTTTTCAGTTGGGCCGATGTTGTTTGAAACATCAAATTGACCTAAACCTTCAAAAATGAGGTTTAACGTCGTTCCCATATTTCTAACAACAAACCATATTAATTGGTGAAATATTAATTGGTGCATGTTATGGGAGCCATTTTAACAAATACTAATACATGTACAATCTTAATTGGTTTTAATTGGTACATGTTAAGGGAACATTGCTAGAACTAATGCATGTATGTCAATGGACAAATACAACGTTGCTAAAAAAGGCATTCTACGTTTAGACCTCATTTTTTGATGGTTTAAAATAGTTCGATGTTTCGAACATCAGACCAACTAAAAAGTGTGGGCCGATCTGATATTCCACCCAACAAAATTGACATGCTATGTTTTTGACATTGAACTGAGTTATAGATATAATAAAATTATGAAAAGAAATTTAACATGCAGATGAATGTTTAAAATATTGGACCACGAGCAAACATGGAAAGAAAAAGAGGAAAAATAAATAAAAGGTCAAGGACCTCTATGTAAATATCGCATATTTTTTAGGCCCTATCATGGTCCAATAAAACGGTATGCACATAATTTTCTGAATCTGGATGTTTAGGAGCGGAGCCCTTAACAGTTGTCTTCTTGAGAGTAGATTTATTATCGACACTATCATACAATGCTTTAGAAGATACGGATACATAAGAAATAGGCTTCTTGCTATTTCCCAGGGACCGGTCTCAATTTCTGTTGCTATCGAACAGCAGAAAATACTTTTCACATCTGTTAATTTAGATGTTATTGCTTGTTGTGAAAATTATAAATACCTCCCAATTTCTACTTTATACACATCCTACTTCTCATTATTTTTTGTATTATACCCCAAAATCCAATATCATTTTTTTCTTGTAATTACCTTCTCATTATTTTTTGTATTATACCCCAAAATCCAATATCATTTTTTTCTTGTAATTACCCCCAGTCAAATAGTCCAATCATTTTGAGGTCCAAATGTATTTTTTTTCTCTCTTCCCCTCTTCAACGTACTTTTTTATATTTCTCTATCTCAAACTCTCTCTCTCTATTTACCCAAAAAAACTCTCTCTCATCCATATTCTCTCTATCTCTCAAAAATATTACAAGAAATTTGTCGTCTAAAAATGCAGTCCAGCACATTTGTGTTGGACCGAATTTTTTTTTTTCGGTTCGACACTTTTAATGTCGGACCACATGATTTGTAGAGAGAGAGTTCATGATGATAGAGAGAGAGAAAGAGAGTTTTTGGGTAAAGTAAAGAGAGATAGAGAATACGGATGAAAGAGAGATTTTTTGGATAAGAAAAAATGTTGAAAAGGGAAAGAGAGAGGAAAAATGGCATTTTGGTCTTAAAATGCTTTGACTATATGACATGGGTTAAAAACAAAAATAATGGTGTTGGAGGTTAAGGTATATTGGGGGTAGGATATGTAGAAAGTTGAAATTAGATAAGTATTTCTAATTTTCTCTTGCTTATTCATCTTTTTTTTACGAAAGGCATCTCCAATATTTTTTTAATTCAGAATAATCAACAATGTTACGGTACGCAATAATGCATGGCAAATCGGTGCCCATCTGGTAAATGGCCCCTCCAATAATATCCGTACATAATTTATTAATGAAATTATAGTCAGCAGTACTCTACTTTTTAAAGGCTTCATTTACTCATATACACACTTATACACTTCTTTTGAGTAAAATACGAATCAATCACATTTTTTCCCTTCAAAATTTTGTGGCCTCATTATGTTTGCCTGAGGGTGGTAACACCCCGGGCCTTTATCCCCACAGGGCTGGGCCGGCCAAAAACAGATGAAAAAAAACTAAACGAAAAAATAAGGATAAAGAAGGCCCGGGTCCAGAACTGGCCCTAACCCCACCCTCAAGCTACATTTTATGGCCCAAGCACTATATTTTTAGGGTTGGGCCGAATAGGTCGGGCTTCCCAGCCCTGCTACTGCTATGTTTACACTTTTCCATCTCCTTCCTTGACAGACCAAAACTGAATCAATAATAACTTTTTAATTAACTGGCACAAGTATTGAATTGATGATTATATCTCATATTTCACTAAGATAGCTAATTAATGGTGTTTATGGCTTTCAATGAAAAGGACCTGTGTAATACTTCCTACCAGAGGATTAAGAGAATTACAAATAAGAAAAAAAAAACAGATTGTGCTGCTTCCTACTGAAATAACAGCGATTAAAATATACATCCTTGACACTCATGGAAAGAACAAAGTGACTATTCTAAAACTTTGCTACAGAGCCTAGGTTTACCCAGAGCTATCTAGGTTATCCCTCGAGCGATTTACTTACGGATCGTAAAATGTTTTCTAAAATGCGATATGCTCTATTTATAAGAGAAATTACAAAGGTTTGTTTTTTTATTTTTTCTAAAATTGCCACTTGATTCGAGGATTCTATTTTTGGAATGAAAATTAAAATTAAACAAAAAAAAAAAAATTAAAATTAAAATTTGGTTCTAGGATTGGAATCCGCAGACTAAAGAGTAATTTTGAAAAAAAAAAAAAAACAAGTTAGATCGAACTTCTTTATAATTTCCGCTTGTGTTTTAATAAAAAATTTAAGATCGTAGGTAAATCACTCCCACATCGATCCAGACTAAGCAACAGGAAAGTGAGAGAGAGAGCATTATACTAGAGTGACTTCAGCAGCGGGTGGCTGGCCCTCCACCACAGTGGCGGTGGCAGGGCCCTGGTTCTGTATCCGGCTCCGCCCTGACCGCCACCAGCCCATCATCCACTGAACCACGTCCCCTGCCCGTAGCACCACGTAAACCATAATCCCCGCCAGCAGTCCATTTGAAACACTGTAGGTGAGTGGCATCAACAGCATGGTCACAAAGGCGGGAGCCGCCTCCTTCATGTCCCCCCATTCTATCTCCCTCACCACTCCCACCATCCCCGCCCCCACCGCCACCAGTGCCGGCCCAACTGCCCATGGTGGCACCGATGCGACCACCGGTGCAAAAAGTAAAGCCAATGAAAACCATGCTGCCACTGCAAGTGCAGTAACCCCTGTCCTCCCCCCCTCTCTGATCCCCGCCGATGACTCGACAAAGGTGGCCACTGGCGAGGTCCCCAGCGCTGAGCCAACCATGACTGCCCCGGCCTCAGCCACGAAGGCCATGTACTGCCCCTCGAACTGGCCTGTGTTATCGATCAATCCACCGTATTCCGCCATAGAATACATTGTCCCGGTAGTGTCCAACAAGTTGACGTAAAGAAGTGTTACCATTGCCACCCACACCTGAGGCTTGTTCAACTCCCTGAAACTGTACGCCAAGGCGGTGGTCTCGATGCCGTGGAAACCGACCACTTGCTTGAAATAGCTGAAAAGCTCGTCACCCTGTGGAGTTTCTGGAAAATAAGTGAAGGGTGTGCCTCTTGGCCATGAGATCAAAGTGACTGCAAGAATGCCATATATCATCCCCCCTTTTAGGTTCTTCATGAGACAATAGCAGGTGAGCATGAACCCACCGGCTCCCAGCCAGAAAGTGGGGCTCTGGAGGCGATGGCTAGTGCACTGTGTCGCACCCGAAGGAGAGGTAGACATGTATTGTGGGGGGCAGGCGGCTAGAGTGAGCAGAGTACTAGGGGTAAAACCCACGAGTCCCACACCCTCACCAGCCTGCAACCCAATGAAGGCAAGAAACAAGCCAATGCCGGCACCGCAGGCCAGTCTAACCGGCCTGGGAACGAGCCAGGCGAGGCGAGCGCGCAAACCCAAAACAGCCACCAGCAAGAAAACAAACCCCTCAGCGAGCACCACCGCCAGAGCCGTGCTGTATGACATGGTTCCCCCAGAGCCATGGATGCCCACCAGGGTGTATGCAAAGTATGCGTTTGCGCCCATGCCGGGGGCCAGAGCCAGTGGAAGGTTGGCAAGAAGCCCCATGAGGCAGGAACCCACAATGGCCGACGCCGCCGTGGCAGTAATCAGGTCTCTCTTGGTGGTGGCAAGGCAAGCTTGGTAAGCAGCAGGAGAGGCCGGCGCACAGGTGCCTCCTGAGTCTGTGAGGATGGTGGCATTGGCCGCAAGGATGTAAGCCATTGACAAGAATGTTGCAGTGCCGGCTCGGACCTCTTTAGTGAAGCATGTCTTGCGAGCATCGAGCTTGAAATATTTGCCGGCACGGCTCTTGGCCACGGCCTCATTCAGACGGTCGAGCCCCGCCGCCGCCCATGTGCCGATGCTGCGCCCCATCCCATGCAGCTGTGCCTATGCTCAGCTTGCTGGTGTGGTTAGTTTGAGAGCTGTCCTTGTGCTCTGGTGAGTGCTCGTCTCGCCTTCCCTTCTGATGGTTGCACCACTGGCCCTTATTATGCTTACTTTAATGGGGGCTCGTGCTATCCTAACTCATCCTAGTCCTGATGGCGGAAAGGTGATCTTGATGTACGCAGTAGAATCTCTTCATTTTATTTGAATACGCAATGTAAATAGTTTTGGGATGGGTGCCGTTTGTATAGAGCCTAGGCTCTAAACCAATGGTTTAAAAAACGGATCGGTGATTCGGATCGGGCTTCCAAAAAACAGATCTGGATTGGCAAATCGGTGATCCGGATTGGGAATCAGGTGAATCGATCAGAATAAAGCTTAAAAAAAATTCGAAAAAATTATTAAAATTCATTATAAATATTGTTTTTTAGGAATTCAATAAAAAATGAGGGTACTCCATTAAGAATTTTCATGTTTTTGAATGAATATGCGAATATTGATATGTTCTTTCCCTGCATGAACCGCCATTCAGCATTTACTTTACAGTATTTCGTGCTCATCCCTACATTGTTGCTGTTGGGACTCGATATGTGAATAATATGGCTGGGATAGGGTGGCCTCAGAATCATCATCTCTCTCATTTTCTCTTCGAATAATATGGATTAAAAAAAAAAATAACAAATTTTCAAAAAAATTGATCATGGATTAAAAAAAAAAATCACAAATTTTCAAAAAATTCTATCATGGATTACAAAAAAAAATTCGATCATGGATTAAAAAAAAAAAATCACAAATTTTCAAAAAATTCAATCATGGATTACATAAAATTCGATCATGGATTACATAAAATTCGATCATGGATTACAAAAAAAAACAAACAAAAAAAAAAAAAATTCAATACGTGGATTACAAAAAAGAAGAAAAACAAGTTACAATCATAGGATTACAAAAA